GAAAACAGAAGAGCTATTAAAGTTAGTAGGGTGGAGATATCAATCACCATAAAACTACAAAGTGCTAGGAGATACGGTATAGATATAGTATTTAGTACATCGAACATTGAGTGTGGATTCAAAATTGATACTTAATCTGGGTAATTTCACCAATTTGCGTCCTAGTGATTCTTTTAACCGTTAGGGTGTAAATTGGTAGTGCTATATCTAATCTACCACACATAATACAATTAAACTCCCCCTAAGATTCCATGTTTGCTTAATTGGATCCACTCCTTGAATGTTTCAGGCACTATATGATGATATGGTCCCTGCATTTGATGTACTTGGGAAGAAGTCATTCTTTCTGGGGGAGATGGGAAATGGAGCAAAGATGAAACTGGTGGTCAACATGATCATGGGAAGGTGACTATCTTTGTACACATCGGCAAAACATTCAAGTGTAGTAAGGCCCTGTTTGGTTCCAAATATGTCACCAACTTATAAGTCGAAAAGTGAAAAAAGTGACTTATTTTGCCAAACAGACCCAACTTATAAGTCACCCCAACTTATAAGTCATAAGTTGCTCCACCCCAACTTAAAACTTATAAGTCACCTCCTTTTGCATGGGTCCCACCACCTTTACATAAAAAACAAGATGGGAAGGTGTGCTCAGGTGACTTATAACTCAGATGACAACCAAACAGGCGTGACTTATAAGTCACTGGTTTTAAGTCACCTGACTTATAAGTCAGGTGACTTATTGGAACCAAACAGGCCCTAACTGCAAGCAGCATTGCATTTTCACATCGTATATTAACCGGTCTCTATAATAGTATTATATCCAGGGTATCTGGAACGTCAGTATGCAGAATACCACTGAGAAGCTTGACCGCTGATACTTTCGTAAACTGATCTGTTAGTAGTTCAGTGCAGTAGATATGGTTACTGTTTTACCCTGTGAATTCGCACCTCAGTCTATGCAGAATGGCAAATCAACTGATAATCTTTATATTCATAGCCAGCAAGCTTAGTACGGATCTGAAACCTGCTCCATTGCGGGTTTTGTAGCTTTCTCGTCTAAACGAGCTTTTAATTTTTGCTACGTTTGTTCAACATCCAGAAATCTATGAGCTCTTTTATTTGCTGCCGCATCATCTACTCTGCCTTTCGGGGACGTAAATCCGTCGACTGCAATAATGCATGACATTTTTATTTTGCTGCAGTATGATGAATGCTTTTTCTGAGGGACTCTGTTTGGCTGACAAAAGTGGGTTGAGCCCCCAGACGCTTCTTGATGTCCTGGTACTGTGCTTGGTTATGCAACACCCCTGCTGTTACTTCCTTTACTACCAAATCAAACAACCATGGTTATGTTTTGACCTGCAGGATCTCGGTGCAATCGCAAATCCGATGTTCAAGATGAAAGGGCCTTCAATGCTGCAGGGCAGCTACAATCCAGCATTTCCCCTCAAACATCAGCAGAAGGATATGAGGTTGGCTCTGTCGTTGGGAGATGAAAATGCCGTGTCCATGCCAGTGGCAGCTGCTTCCAATGAGGTATG